TCAACACAAAATTATGAAATCCTTATCTTGTTTTTTCAACACAAGATTGTGAGATCCTTCTATTGTTAATCAAGCATTTATATAGTAATTAAATATATTTAAATTAAATACAGTTGAGTGTGGCATTCAAATTCAGTTTGGAACGTCAATGCACGTAACAACACCCTTTGCATGGTTGTCGGTATTGCTTGCGTCATATTTTTACTCATGTGTCAAATGTTTTCATCACCAAAAAAACTATTCCATAACAGTTATGCTGTGCTAATACCTCCCTTCAAGAGAGTTCAAACCTGCCATTTTAAACATGTTCACATTTATTTTTCTCTTACGTCAACGTAAGTTCCATCAGCGTCAACACAGCATAGTTCTCCCATAAGCCTCCACCATTCAATATGTAAATTTAATCAAACATAAAATCTCATGATAATAAAATGTTATTAGATGATTAAAATAACCCATCACAAAAAACAGTTTTATTGAACAGTTTAATGTCTGCTCCACTAATTACTCTATCCCATCAAGTTAATAAGATTAATTAAAAAAATATAGCACAGACAAAACTCTATATTTCACCAGCTAATAATGCCTTGTCATATGACAAATCAACAAGTGATTACTCAGGTGATGCTACAAAGGTAATTTTAGCTCAGTATACATGTATTAAACATAGCGTATCTATTACAACCTTGTCCATTGAAAATCTAGATTAAAGCAAACAGAAGAATGAATACAAACTAACGAAGCATGATATTTTCTTTGCATGCCAAAGTTGAGTATAAAATCCTGAAACAATGAATAATATATTTTTTTTAACATACATATTTCAAATTTTTCATGGAAAATATTGGCTAAAATTTAGATGTGAACAAGAATAATGACGTGATAATAATTACAGGAACAAATTAACTAATTAATATTCATGTTCTTCAAGTAATATTTATCGCAATGTTCCTTATATAAATAAAGTAATATAACACAATTGTAGGAAAATAGAATAATATAAAATGTGTAAAAGTTCTGAACTAATAGAGTAGTACATGTAAGCAAAAGTAGAAAATACGTGTCTGATTTGAAAAAGGTAGGAAAACTACTGTACTTACGTTTTTTGAATTTTACTCATAATTTAAACAATATATTGGTTTACTACTTGTCTAAGTGACAGATGTTGGAGACCATACTAACATTTAGAATTCACTATCAGTAATATAGAAAAAAACTTGAGCTTTTATAGATGTCTTG